TTTTTAATGATTTTGAGTTTTGTTCCACATTGTTCTCCCACTCTATTCAGGATCTTCTGCACCAATCCCCCTCTGAGTAGTTGACAGTGGTAACCTGGCACCATCTAGTTATAAGAACTCTCATGGTCACATAGGCTAAGAATCACATGGTCTACCAGTTCCCTGAACTAATTATTCCCATGCATCTTTGGTTTTCCTTATTCTTTTTTTCTCTGGACAAGAAGAGACCAATTGCTGCATCTAGATGGCTGCTTGCAAGCTTTTAAGACTGCATGCAATAATAACTTTGTTGAAACATTTCATGAACCCAAATGTAAACGAGAGTTGTTCACTTTTCTAGCATATGCAAGGTCAGTGAGGAAATGGTCATTTCTTTTCCCCTCTCAAACAGGTAGGGCCAATCACAATTTCTGCAGCTCACACAATAATTGCACTATTTAGCATGCGTGTTATTTAAATCTAATGTCATAAAAATATTCACTGATTTGCTTAAAACAATATACTAGAACCCAGAATGTGTCTAGTAAACATGAGAAATTGATTTTGTTTCACTTAACATTCTCGTGAAAAGTCTCTAACTTTGATATTCATGAATGGCTTTGATCAAATGATCAAGGAATCTTGTAGAGATGAGGAATCGCTATGCTTGGGAATGACCATTGTGGTTTCAAGGTGACCACAGTCACCTTCAGTCCCACAAATGCTTTTCATTGCTTGCCACCATCTCCATCTAGAATTTGGATCATACCCAGTATGATTTTCAGTGGCATAATTAAGGTTGTCTTTGACCACCTTGTGAAGCAGAAGTTTCTCTATGTATCTTTCTATTCTTTAAGGACTTCTCGTGGTGTAGTGGCTAAGACATTGGCTACTAACCAGAAGATCGGTGGTTCAAACCCACCAGCTGCTCCGCAGGAGGAAGATGAGGCAATCTACTTCCATAGAGATTTACAGCCTTGGAAAGCTAGTGGGGTTGCTATGAGTTGGAATCCACTTGGTGGTGGGTATGGTTTTTTCCATTCTCTCAATGTTCTTCTCTCTCCCTCTCAATTTCCAATCCTATTACTTTATATCACCACCTCTACTATCATTCTTTTTCTTGTTTTCAGGTTTCCCATGATTATTTTAAGAAGCCCTAGGTACCCGATAGCTTTTAAGATAATTTCTATATTAATAAGTAATTCTCAAAAAAAAATTCACTGTCAAAAATATGATGTTGTTATTGGACAAACTACTACCTCTGCTCACAAATTTGGACTGGACATAGTGGAAAGAATTCTAGATAGAATCTGAGAAAAGTTTATTTGTGGGTAGAAAGGGGAGCGATTTCTCTGTTACATTTATTTTCCTCTTGACCACTCATTCCACTGCCAGGCACTCTTCTGCACTCTGCTTACAGAGCAGATTCTAGAAGTAGGAGAGAAATGCACTACCCTAGACTCACCCTCATATTCACTTTTTTAGTTGGTCAAGAAGAGATCTCTCAGAATGTCACTGTAGTCAACATTTGTTCATCACCTATCCAGCATCCAGTCTCCCCCTTCTGCTTCCGTGCAATACCTGGAATTTCTCATTCTCAGTACTGTAGTTTTAACCCCACTCCCAGCTCTGGAAACCAACTCTCAACTGATTAAACCAATTCATCCTTTCTGGTCATGATGTTGAACAAATAACCTAATTTATTTGCTCCATGTGAGAAGCAAGCTTTCTGGCAGACAGAAACAAGGATGAATAAACTGCCAAGAGTTATCGGCACCCATCTTGGAAACACAAAAGGACAGCATACTGGGAGTAAGGACAGCACTAAGAAGTGGATCCAGAAACCAGCTTATGCTCATACTGAATTCTGGACACATCATGTAAGCCCTGGTAAAGATGCCCTGAAGCTAGACCTGCCCCTGAGTGGCTCCATTACATGCTTCAGAAAGTTCCCTCTTATGTAGAAGCTAGTTAGAGTCAGGTTTTTGGAAATCTTTCTGTTAAAAATGTTTTCTTGCTAATGCAGCGTGTTTGGTATCAGATGAAACAAATTCAGTCGACCTGCATCTAAGGTAGACACTAGGTAATGGGAAGAAATTGTCCAAAGCTCTTCTGTTCCTAACAGTCATCGTTAATTTGCTCAGATCAAGGAAAAAGGTCAGACTTTGATTTTTGGTCTACGGGGAAAGGCTGGGTAGTTGACATAAATATCCTCTCTTGTACCATCCAGGGGTTGATTGGTAGAGGTAGGACTTCTGTAGTTGGTGGCCATCTAGAAATATAAACAGCAGAGTATTTTAATAATGTGCTTCATTTCAGCAGCTAAAACAGACTTTGAAGACATAAATCTAATATTCCCAATTCAAGCATGATGTAGGTCAAATTCCCATTGTGATTAAATTTATAACACATTCCATTCATTGTACTAAAATTCTTTTGGAAATCATATTCTTGATTTGCAGGACTCTGTGTGAGAGGCAATAGAAGAATAATGTAGTAAGTACTGGCATATTGTATTATGAATCACCTGGTTGGGGTGTAGCTTTATCTCCTAATATTAGGCTATTTGATGAAAACAATTATTTATTCAGGTTTATATAAAATGTCTCTGTGGATGGGTCATGAGTATCAGGGCTAACTCAATGGCAGCTGACAACAATAACAACAACACATAGAATGTCTAGTATAATATTTTCCCATTTAAAAAAAAAAAAAAAAACAAAAACACCTCACTGCTGTCGAGTTGGTTCCGACTCACAGCAACCCCTACTTGGTTTTCCAAGGTGGTATCTCTGAAGAAGTAGATTGCTCATTCTTCCTTCCAAGAAGTGTCTGGTGAGTTTGAACCACCAGCCTTCTGGTCAGCAGTCAAATGCCTTAGGCACTTACACCACCAGAGAGAGCTCCTATTTTCCCATGTTGTTGTTGTTATTTGCCATCGAGTCAGCCCCGACTCATAGCGACCCCTCCTTGGGTTTCCGAGGCAGTATCACTACGGAAGTAGGAATGCCCAACCTTCCTTCCGAGGAGTGGCTGGTGGGTTTGAACCGCCAGCCTTCTTGTTAGCAGTCAAGTGCCTTAGGCACTATGCTACCAGAGCTCCTTATTTTCCCATAGTGGGCACCAATTAAGGTTTGTTGAAGAATGCCTTAATAAATAAATATTTTAAAATTACAGTGCTATGGGTTGGAAAGTAAAGTAACTCTGAGCAGGAGAAAAACATTTTTTAAAAGCTGCCATTCACTTTCAAGATGATGTTATACAATCATTAATTTTCTGCATCCCAATCAAGTCACTTAGACCATGCCTATGTAGGTAACAGAAAGAATGTAGGAAAGAAGAGTTGGATATGGAGAGATGGAAAGAAAAGGAAGAAATAGGTAGGAAATGGAAGAAAGAAAAAGAACAAGAGAAAGAGAAAAATGTGCTTGATGGACAGTTAAAACTTTAGAATGGTTTTATAGCTTACAATGAACAAGCTCAAGTGTAACCGCTACATGTATAGCATGTCTAAACAAAAGAATCAAGAAGTTCTAACTTCTTGATCTTTCAAAATCCAACTTCTTGTTGTTGTTGTTGTTGTTCGGTGCCATCGACTCATCTCTGACTCATAGCAACCCTACAGACAGCAGAACAAAACACTGCCCAGTCCTGTGCCAGCTCCACAATCCCTGCTCTACCTGAGCCCATCATTGTAGTCACTGTGTCAATTCATCTTTTTGAAGGCCTTCCCCTCTTTCCTTGACCTTCCACTTTACCAAGCATGAGATCCTTCTCAGGGAATGGTCTCTTCTTATACATGACCAAAGTAGGTGAGATGAAGTCTGGCCATTCTCACTTCCAAAGAGCATTTGTCTGTACTTTTTCCAGGACAGATTTGTTAGTTCTTTTAGCAGTCCATGGTACTTTCAGCATTCTTCACCAACACCACAGCTCAAAAACTTCAACTCTTCTTTGGTCTTCCTTATTCATTGTCCAGCTCTCACATGTACATGAGGCTATTGAAAATACCATGGCTTGTGTCAGGTACACCTTAGTCCTCAAGGAGACATCTTTGCTCCTCAGCACTTGAAAGAGGGTCTTTTGCAGCCAATTTGTCCAGTGCTATATGTCATCTAATATCTTGACTGCTGCTTCCATTGGCACTGACAGTAGAAACAAGTAATATGAAGTCTTTGACAACTTCAATCTTTTCTCCATTTATCATGATCCTGCTTATTGGTCCAGTTGTGAGGATTTTTGTCTTCTTTATACTGAGGTATAATCTGTACTGCTGACTGTATTCTTCAATCTTCACCAGTAAGTGTTTCAAGTAATCCTCACTCTCAGCAAGCAAAGTTGTATCATCAGCATATCACAGGTTGTTAATGATTCTTCCTTCAATCCTGATGCCACATTCTTCTTCATAGAGTCCAGCTTCTCAGATTATTTGCTCAGCACAGAGATTGAGTAAGTATGGTGAAAGGATACAACTCTGACACATTCCTGTCTTGATTTTAAACCATGCAGTGTTCCCTTTTTCTGTTCGAATGACAACCTCCTGTTCTATGTACAAGTTCCTCATGAGTACAGTTAAGTATTCTGGAATGCCCATTCTTCTCAACGTTATCCACAATTTGTTATGATCCAACAATCAAATGCTTTTGCATAGTCAATAAAACACAACTAAACATCTTTCTGGAATTCTTTGCTTTGAGCCAAGATCCATCTGACATCAGCAATGATATCCCTTGTTCCATGTTGTCTTCTGAATCCAGCTTGCATTTCTGAAAGTTCTCTGTCAATATACTGCTGCAACTGTTTTTGAATTATCTTCAGTAAGATTTTTTTTTTTATTAGGATTTGGGTGAAGATTTACAGAGTAAATTCACTTTTCATACAGCAGTTCACATATACTTTGTCTCATGTCATTGACC